ACAATCAACCTGCTGGGATTTTTAAAAAGCCTTTGTTGTAGTCAGTTTTTTTAGAGGCTAACATATTTCTCCCTCAAGGTTTTTCACTTTTCTACATTACCTCAATTGATACAAGACAGACTAGTGACAATTGTGAAGTCACAAGCGAACAGGCCATTGACGATATTTGCGGACTGTATCGACCCGATGTGTAGTTACATTGCACATAGTTTACGCTATAGGTTGCGGTAAAGGTTTTCAGAGAGTTTTACGGTCTAGGTCTAGCAACGATGTAGCTTTCCAGCCAGAGGATCGATCCCCAGTGAGTGTAGTAGTAAAGGAAGTCTGTAATCTCAGGGGACTCTGTTTACTTAAACTATTTAATTCTTGGATCTTTCTGAAACATCTTTTTAGTTCATCTTCTCTACGCACTTAGCTTCCACCTGCAAGCTGATGTTAGCTTGCGTGTGGGTTAGCCACAGATGCTAAAACCACTTTAAACTGGGATATTCTGAAGCTCTAAGTTTTTTTGGACTTCATGGGTTGAGCTGCTGATTTGTGAATCTTTTCTCACATTAGGGATTTTGGCCATGCCATTGTCTCCAGCTCTCAAGTCTGTTTTTTGAGCTGTTTTGACGTTATGGCAAGGCACAATCTCTCCTTGTGCTTGCTGGATGAGGCTGCTGCCACTGGGAAATGCAGTTTAGTTGATGTTCTTGGTCTCTAAGGTTTAAGTGGGTCGACTTGTCATGTTAACATCCGCGTGAATGTGGAAGATCGCACTGAAACATGACTGATGTTATTCACCCCACCTGTCAGTGGTCTTAATGATATGGCTGACTGGTGAATATCAGACTTTCTCTTAATGGCAAATTCAGATTTTTTGAAATTTTCTTTTATAACTCAATCTCTCATTTGCCTGGACATGGAGTCTGGATTCATATGTACGCACACACACACTCACACACACACGCACACTTACACATAAGGCCCTTCGATTCTTGCGCCCCAGAGAGTCACTATTGCAGAACAAAAGCTGCCAGTGGAACAGTTAGCGGTTGCCTCATCCTGCTCCACTCTTGTTAATGCAATTCCCTCTTTGCTGTCTTCGGCTCAGTGCAGTAGAGAAGCTGTCTTTCATATAGCATGTCCTCTGTGAAGCTGCTTCCCTTAGATAATATAGTGAGGTCCTTTGGGACTCTCCAGAGACTCCAGGCAGACAAGATGTGCTCGTCTGATAAAAGAAAGTGATGTGTACAAGTGTAAACATTCAATATTATTCACTCAGTGCTTGCTTGCTGCTCTACTCTTATCTGGAGCTCGCTGGCTGGGGGCTTTTCTCTCTCCTGTGAAGCCATCTGTAAAGTGTAATTCAATTGCGGCAGAGAGCCATTTTATACTTGATGCGTGGACATGCTCCGCACAGACAAATCTGATTCTGCGTCGTACCATGAGAGGGAAGGTGTGTCACGCATAACAGAGTAACTCTGGGCTGCTTTGCATCCTTTCCCGTGCTCCTAGTTTTCTGAGGCGACACTGACTCAATTAGTTTACCAAAAGTTGCCATACACGATTGCAGTCAGGCCTAAAGGTATGGACTCATATATGTGGTCTGTTTAGCAAACAGGAAACAGCGAATGAAATCTGTTTCCTGCGAACCTGTTACCCAAGAAGAAAAAGAAGAAGACAGTCTCCTTTAAGATACTCAAATCTAAAAAAAAGGACCTATAGAAAGATCGTGGCCTTTAAAAAAAAAGCTGTATTTCTCCTAAAATGCTTCCACGCAATTAAACATGGCTGTCACCTAAAGTAACCGAGTGTTTCTGCCCCTAATTCAGATGCTCCTGAGATTTTCCAGACATTTTACAAAGCTGACGGTGCTGATGGGCAATGAACTTCTTCAGCTGCTGATATATACACAGCAGTGCAGTGCTTTCAGTTGTCTACATTCATTGTAGACTCTGATCCCTTTGTCCTGGTTTGACCATAAGTCATCACTGCTCAAATGCACAAGCCGAAACCACACAGCCGTTCCTGTTGTGACTCTGTGTTGGCTGTGATATTGTGTTGTCTTTGTACCTGACGTATAAGTATTGATTTACTGATAGTTCCATCATGTAAGTGTCATTTTGTCACATAACACGTCTAATAATGCTCCGATGTAAAACAAACAACCAACCAAAAAAGTGTTCCCAGCAATTTGGTGCATAGTGGTGTGGCCAAAACCAGTACAAAATCAGAACTTTCGGAAACATCTTTTACATCAGCATCCTTTTTTTGTCTTCCATCTTGTATTAACTACAGGAAGGCTAAGTCGCGGATGCTGCATGCTGGTTAAGCCCTGTGTGTTGACATCACCCCCCTTCTCTCACTTAGTGCCAGCAGTTCTACGAAAACAGTGTTAAACGTCTTTTACTTAATACTTTAGACCTTACCCCCCCACCCGTGTTTTTCAGTGGTTCCACATAATATGGATAAACAGTTTCTGGGCTGAACTCCATTAAGATCATTAGCAAAAGTTTCAAGCTGCAGATGAAGCAAAACACTTGCACGCTCAGTAAATGACCTTGTTTATTAGTAGAGTTACTTATTGATCATTTGATTCAATTTTAATGTGTCAACGTGCACCCTCAGCTGTAATTCAGCTCTAAGGCTCAGAAAGAGTTTCTTTTCATCTTCATTAGTGTATTTGCATTGTGCTGCTTGCCTGCTAATAACCTTCTTGCCTAGTATGGAAAATAGACGTCTGTGCTCAGCAGAAAAATTAATATAGTGGCAGTTTTTGAGGTGAAATCCTCAGATCCTCAGTTTGGTCCTCGGAAGAGACAAATCTCTGTTGGGCTGCATCAGGAAGAGCCAAATCAAACACGCTATGGTTACACCTTGTGAATAAAAGAGCAGCTGAAAGTAGCTTTAGAGTATTCACATTCTGTCTGTGGTCAGACCAAATCAGCCATTTGCTAATCTGTCATTATCAGACTGTAATATTCAATACACAAAAGGGTAAAAAAGAGACAGAAGAAACACCCTTCATTGTTGATTTTGCATAATTTGTCCACAAGAGGGCACTCTACAGTCTCCCTGTTGGCAACACAACCATGAAACAATGGCATCAGATGTTACAGATGTCTGTTACGCATACCGGTGGTGATGTTTAAAACAACACTTTGTCGATACCTAGTAAAGCCCAACAGATATAGGATTTTTAAGAACAATACCGATATTTGGTGATTTTACAATGTGATATTTCGATATATGAGGCAATAATTCTTTTCCATACACTTGATATATAAACAGATTTCCCTAACATTTACTATGTACGGTTATTTACTTGTTCACACTCAATCTGACTCTGTTTGACTCAGCTGGCTGTTGTATTTGTGGCCTTCCAAACACGTGTTGCCAACTGGGAAATTGCCCTCTAGTGGACAAAATATACGTATGTGTATTTATATATATATATATATATATAGGGTCAGTGTTAATGCAGCGTTAACGTGATGTTAATGTGGCTTAAATGCAGCTTAAATGCATTAACGCCACCATCACGATTAACGCGATTAAAATTTTTAACGCACTCAACTCAAACTTTGGACAAACTACCCGAAATATGTTGACAGAGACATTTCAGGGATTTTGAATCAGTCTGAGCTCCAGATGGGTTAATTGTTAATCATGTTAGCCGTGATGACGCCGTTAACCGTTTAAGCCACATTAACGTGTTATTGCCGAGTAACCCCTTACACGGATTGATCTGCTCGTTAACGCGGATTAGCCCGTTTCAATGCATTAACGCGGATCAGTCTGCGTTAATGCTGACTAATATATATATAGAGAGATAAATTTATATAGATAAATCTATTGGACAATATAAATGCTGATACTGATAGATTGGCAAATAGCGAATATTAGCTGATAATATTTAAATATTGTCTGGCTCCAATAGCTAGTGCCAATACCAGTAAACGTTTCTGTTTCCTTCAGTTTTTGTACTTCTTTACTTCCAACTTTATACCAGGGAAACAATAAACCTTCAGTTTAAAAATAAATAACACTAGTGTAACGTCTTTCAGCTCTTTCTCAAACTATCTTTCAACATTTAGCCACTTAAACATGATTTAACGCAGCACATTGTCCTAAGCTGAAATGGAGGCTGAACATAAACACACCACAGCAGTATATACAGATGTACTTGCCTGTGCGCCCAATATTATCAAATGAACAAGAGTTATGTAGCTATGCATTAATGTTAATAATGTACTTTTGAATTTGGAAATGCAGCAACTAGAACCAGCCAGCTTGTATGTTTGGTGATTGTTAATGAGCTGTGTTTGAAGCATTTCTTTTTAAATTGTATTTGAAATTACCAATTTCTCTTGATATTTTAGCTTTTAACGTGTGCTTGTGCAGCAATTTGCTGAAGATAAACATCACAATCATAACTTGTGACACCAGGATTCAACAGTTGAAAGATTAATTGAACGAGTTTTGACTCAGTTTAGACTGTGAGATCCAGATAATGCAATGACATAATTAGTGTATACATGTGGCATGTGCAGTTAGCCAACTATTCAACTGATAAGTCAATAATAAGGAAGTTTCTTAAAATTTCTGTTTCGTTTACATGACGATAGCAGAGACGATGTACTGTATGGGGAGGAGTAACCAAGATCTCGGCCTTTCTCTCCCTTCTCTGTTGAATTATCTTTTCCTTTATTATGCAGCACCCCATTGCCTTATTTCAACAGCAGATACATCATATTAGTGAAACACGACGCCTTTAAGCACAGCTTCCCCCCTCTCTCAGAGCTGCGGCCCTCCATTGTCCTAAACTGCGAGGACTGATTTGACAGTGAAAGCTGTCAAGCACTATCCAAAAAGCAGAAACTGTACGGTGATGTCATAAAGACACGCGCACAGACACGCGGCCATTTGGAAAGAAAAGTGAAACATCACGATACTGCCTGTAAATTTACTGTCCTGCCACTGACACATGAACCCTTTCTGTCTCCCCGACACAGTTCCTGTGCCTGAAAAACATCAGGACTTTCCTGGCAGCGTGCAGCGACGTCTTTGGCATGAAGAAAAGCGAGCTCTTTGAGGCCTTTGACCTTTTTGACGTCAGGGACTTTGGAAAGGTAAGGCACGACTCCTACAGGCCCGTTAAAGAACGAGACGGAGGCTTTGGCATCGGCAGCCTGCATCCACCCTCGCTGTGTGCGCCAGCTGTCCCCAAAGACTGTTCTGAATTAGTCAAATGTGCTGTTACACCCACTTTTGCCTTTGTCTTTAAGTCACGCAACTTGGAGCTACATTTTTATTAGTCTTTCAGTGATTTCTTTCTTAAAAGGCAGACTTGGTCTTTGTGAGAGCATCTGAAGTGTAATTAGAAGACACCGGTTTTCCCGTCACAGGTGCTAATAAATGCAGTCTGAGGCCACAGTTTGGCTTGCTTCACACTCCCAAATCACGAGCTAAAGCTGAAGTCAGCAACATGACCCAGCACTTTAATCGCTTCCTCTCATTAAAGTAAAAAAGTCAGCGTGCAGACGTTAAACGGGGGGGGGGGGTTAAACGTCTGGCCTCCGGTTCGTTACTTTGATAGGGCTCTCAGTCTTCACTCGCAGGGCTGTGGAAGCGTCTGCGGCTCTCCGGCAGCCCTCGGGAAGTCCCCAGGAGGTTAATTTAGAAATACCAGGCTTGAGCAGAAAGAGGGTGCTGCTGCATTTTGGTGCACACGATGTGTTTACAAGATGACAGGGTCATAAATCCAGAGCTTAAAATGTGTGTGTGTGAGAGCGAAAGACTGAAAAGCATCGATAGGAATGAAAAGTTACTCTGAAACACGAACTACTGGAGCACTGCAAGCTCACTGGTCAGGTGGCAACACTTGAGAGGTAAAAGTTAACTTCAGAAGAGCACAGCAACAACACTCAGTGCTCACTTTGTGTTAGAGTTCAACTCGGTGTTTCAGCTACACTTTCACAGCTTGCTTTGAATTATTGGAACATAATGAAGATCTTCTCTCTAGCTTTTCCTTTTAAACTGGTGTACTAAACTGAATTAAGTAGCTGAGAAAATTAAGCCATCCATTCATTAAATCAGTTATAATTAAAAGATATTTGGACTGAGGCATGCTCATTTCTTTATTTCCTGGTAGAGCGAAATACAAATACAAATCTGTATCCTTGCTTCTCAGAAACAAACAAATTTTAAGGAATATCAGGGTTTTTTGATTTATGCTTGTAATTGTACATTCTCATATTTTACTATTCAAATGTTAACTCCTGTCCTTCCAATAGGATAAACACAGATTTACAGGGCTTCAGTTCTGTGTTAACCAGATAAGATTTGGTGGCAGGTCCATGCTAGCTGTTTTGTTTCTAGTCTTTATCCTGGGTTAGCTAGCTACATCAATGTGAAAGAGAACGGTTTCACAGGATTGTATAAGGTCCTGTGTACCCTTACTGACTCCATAGGAATTAGGAGGTTAAGTAGCAGTCGGGGGGCTTCTAATGGACTCGATTAACTGATCATCAGTGAGTGTGAGTACCTCTATAAAGCAGTCTTGGCAGTTTGTTGGTTGCATTAATACCAAATCATCACCCCTCATTGTGTGTGTTAACACAGTGTCACAATCTTTACAGGAATGGACGTCCCAGTAGAGTCAGAGCCTCATGTTCATGACAGTACAGTTAGAAAAAGACCGAACAGGGATGGCTTGCTTTGAAAGATGACCAAGAAAAAGCCTCTTCGCTCTATAAAGAACGTGGCAGCGCAGCTTAGGTTTGCAAATCAAAATCTGAACAAGCCTCATGACGTCTGTAACAACATCCTTTGTACGGATGAGACTGAAGTGGCGATATCTGGCCATGATGATGTATAAGCACCACAGTTGGTAAATGAATGGCCTCAAACCTCAACGAGCTGAGGCAATGCTGTAACGAGTGGGTTGTGTTCCCTCCAGGATGATGTGCAAACTCATGTAGAAATATTTTTTTACAATACTGTAGAGAGTCCTGTGACTATATTTCACATGACTATATTTGGTTAGAAGCTTTCAAACAGGAAATTAAAATGTTCTCACATAGAAGGATTTACATAGAGTTTGCTTTTTTGATATTGGCCACATTAACCCGCTGCTACTATTTATTTGGAAGTAGTACATGAGGTAGAGCTTTTTTTTGGTGCATGGTGAAAGTATTTAATGGCTTACAGAACCTGTCAGTGAGAGACTGATAGAGTTAGATAGAAAACAATAAGTTCAGGGTGTTGCTGCTGGAGAATCATTCTGGTGTCTGATTTTGGCCTGAATTTTCTCCACTGGTTTCAGTTGGTGGAGGGAGAACTTCGATGATTCTTGAGTGAATCCCACATTGCCCTGAGTGACTCTACCATCTCTGAAATTAGACTGGAAGCTGGTTGGTAATCCTCGCTCGGCTGGCTCCGCAGAGGCTAATGGAGCGAGGCGGGCAGGGGATGAGCGAAGCTGCCATTTACGTGACTTTTTCAGTTTATTTTATTTTTTTGTTGTTTTAAAAATAGCTGCCGGCCTGCTTCTGAATAAAACATCAGCCGGCCTGTTTATTTTAGAGTTTATAGACTTAGATATAGAGTCTGCGCTGGGAATATCTCTGTCTGCTTCAGCAGTCGCACTGTGTAATCTGAAAGGTATTAAAGTCCTTGACTCTGCTACTTTAGAAGCTGGGAAGGAGCATTAAAGGGAGAAATCCTTAGAAAACATGACCAGACTAGGAAAATCAAGGGTGCGTTTAATTTGTAAAACTGCATCTGTCTAACTGCTTTTGAAATTTGAACTCGCCTCGGCACAGCGCCGCGATATCAGCGAGTCACAGAGACAAAAGCAGCAGGTCTGTCTGCAGACCTTTCTGTTCGGTGCAAGAACATCTGGTTTGAACATCTGTCTTGTAGACACATGAGGGCTTGTGGGTTCTGCAGGGAGAACAGAAACTTGGATGTGCAGGCCGTGCACAGACTGACACACACCTGGCTGACAGAGAGCAAGAGCGAGAGGGCTCCAGAGTTGATCTGTGTGCAATATTCAGGCCAATAGAGCTGCGATATATCCCCTCACTGTTATATCTGTGGAAGTGTTTGGCAGCGTGGGCGAAGAATCCACAACGTGTGTTTCACTATAAGGGTTACAGTCATTTTACCATAGTGTGTGTCCACTGAATGTATAATAATACAATGCATAGCTATTACATGGGTGTAATCAATGTAATGTCTACATCCTGAAGCTTATGTGCCCCAGATGACATCACTAGCCCGATTTTGTTGCACACACACTGAAACAATATTGTTTTGTCTCCAAGCTCTTTTGTGTGCTAAGATGCGCACAAAATGTATGAGCTTTTAAAAAGACCTTTTCCTTACGTGTCATAGGAAAAATGTGCCATCGTGTGCTTAGTGTGCAAGTTTTACATGTTAGGAAAGTTTTAAATGAATGAAAACACATACTGCCATCATCATCTCTGTCAGTGACTAATTGTCTCATTTCTATTTTATTGCTAATTCCAACTTGTTTTTTTTTAAAATAGAAAGTGCTGACGGGATCTTTCCATGCTCACGCAGTCACATGGTGGGCAGTTTATCCTGGAAACAATGACTCGCTTTTTTTTTCTTCTCAGCTTCAGTTTTTACACTTCAAGGAAACAAGATCGTGCAACAACCGGTAGCTTAAGAAGTGCTGGCTAGTTGATTTTTGTTTCCAGTCTTTAAAGAGTATTGCGCTGACCAAGCTTTTTTTGGTGCTGTGGTCATCTGGATGACTGGTGGATGCTCAGGCCTCCACCCCTGTGTAGTAACCCTCCATTATGTACTGTATCCCATTTTCTACAGCTTCGCATGTGCCAGAAGATGCTACACCTGCATATTGTTAGCTGTGTGTCATGTAAATCATCTGGTAATGAGTGACTACTCTTGCATGCTGTTGTTTTCGCAGCTGCGCCCGACTCATTCATCTGCTTCCAGATCCCTGCGTTTTCATTACGCGTTCTAGTTTCATTAATCAGGCAAGGGTTTCCAGGTTTCCACAGTCCTACGGT